TATGATCTATCTGTCAGCTGATACAGAAAGTTGGTAGCTTTGATTGGGGCCCAGAGCAAGAAGGAACTCTGAAGACCAGCTGAGGTATAATCAACACTGCTGCTTGGGCTATGTGACTTGACAGATTTTATGATACTTGAGGTATCTGGGGTAGAGAATGATAAAACCTTGTAAAGCCTTGGCTCAAATATTTTTGTATTCCATGCATTTCCTAATTTAATTGATTCAACATTTACCTGATTATGTACTCACCATATATATGCCAGGCCCTGTCCTGGGTGCTTAAGACACAAAGGTATAATAAAATGTATTCCTTGTTCCCAGGTTTCTCAGAGTCTAATTTTACTCTTAACTATTTTCATGCTATTTAATCCGTATGCTTTTTTCTTCCCCCACATTTGCTAGGATTCAGGTCATAACAAAGAGGGGCCAAATGGGGAAAAATTTGAGAACAATTCATTAACTAAAAATATACTGCAAATTGATCAAAGACCATCATGATTTGATTTGAACAGGCCATATGAGTCATGCTTTAACAATAAAAACTCATTTACTGAGTGCCTACTATGTGCCATGTATTTCATATACATTTATTTTCCCCTAAAATTCTGCAAAGGGTTAACATCCTTCACTCTCCACATGAGAAAACTGAGGTTCAGGAAGTTAAGTAAATCACCCAAGTCACATATGGAGAGGCAGAACTAAGATTTGATAGATACAGTTCTCTATTATTATTTCTGCTTCGTTCTTACCAGCTTCCACTGTTTGCACATGGCCCAACATTAGTGCTCTAGCCCCATCCTACAATGACCATTCAGTTCATGGGTCCATTCTCATCTCAATCAGTCTTTTTTATTTTTTGGTACAAAACCCCCAGAAATAAATGGATTGGCTCAGCTTAGCGTGTGGATTGGATCTTGGGTCAGTGTTCTACCCTTGATCTGATCACCTGACTGGAGTGGAGTCACACTTTGCAAACACGGCTAACTAGTTTCTTGAGAAGGATCTGTGATGTGAAACAATTTCAGAGGGGGTGTGAGCTGCGCTTAATAAACTGTGGTAGCAATCTTGTTTAGAAAACAAAGACGGAATGAAGATCTTTTTCTCCTGTGACACTGTAGCACTCACCTGATCCTTCATATTATCTTTCGTTTTGAGTGTATGCTATTTTCTAGCAAGTGTAATACCATGGAGGTAAGGGTTACTGTCTATCCATCTCTGACTCCTCAGAGCACTTACTCAAGGGCTCTCAACACTGTGGCCTTGGGAATGACTTGATGCTGAGGTAAACTATATGTGACAGGGTACACATACCTACAGTAGGCTGATCTCTTCAGTATGGGTCCACAGTGGCATGCCAACACTTTTTTTCCTTTTTATTGTAGTAAAATATACATAAAATTTACCATATTTGAGCATACAATTCAGTAGCATTAGTACATTTATATTGTTGAGCAGCCATCACAATTATCTCCTGGACTTTTTCATCATCTCAAACTGAAACTCTATACTAAGTCCCCATTTCCCACTCCTCTTCTACCCCCTAGTACCTTCTGTCTCTATAAATTTGATCACTGTAAAGAACCTCATATAAATGGAATCACATAGTATTTGTCCTTTTGTGTCTCACTGATTTCACTTAGCACAATGTCTTGAAGGTTGAGCTGTGTTGCAGCATGTGTCAGAATTTCCTTCCTTTTAGGTCGGCCTGTGGCTCACTCGGTAGAGTGCGGTGCTGATGACACCAAGGCCACGGGTTCGGATCCTATATAGGGATGGCCGGTTGGCTCACTGGCTGAGCGTGGTGCTGACAACACCAAGCCGAGGGTTGAGATCCCCTTACCGGTCATCTTTAAAAAAAAAAAAAAAAAGAATTTCCTTCCTTTTAAAGATTGAATAACCTTCCATTACATGTACATACCACATTTTGTTTATCCACTTGTCTGTCAATGGACACTAAGGTTGCTTCCACATTCTGGCTATTGTGAATAATGCTGCTATGAACATTGGTGTACAAATACCTGTTCAAGTAACTGCTTTCAATTCTGTTGCATATATACAGAGGTGGAATTGCTGGATCATATGGTAATTCTACATATAATTTTTTGAAGAACCTCTATACTGTCTTCCACCGTGGTTGCATCATTTTACATGTACAAGGGTTCCCACCAAAATGTACAAGGGTTCCTATCTTTCCGCATCCTTGCCAATACTAATAACCATCCTAATAGGTGTGAAATGCTAGCTCATTGTGGTTTTGATTCACATTTCCCTAATGATTAGGGATGTTGAGCATCTTTTCATGTGCTTACTGGCTATTTGTATATCTTCTTTGGAGAAACGTCTATTCAGGTCCTTGCCCATTTTTAAAATTGGGTTTTTTTTTTTTGTTTTTTTTTTTAAAGATGACCGGTAAGGGGATCTCAACCCTTGACTTGGTGTTGTCAGCATCACGCTCAGCCAGTGAGCCAACCGGCCATCCCTATGTGGGATCCGAACCCGGGGCCTTGGTGTTATCAGCACCGCACTCTCCTGAGTGAGCCACGGGCTGGCCCAAAATTGGGTTGTTTTTTGTTGTTGGAGTTCTTTACATGTTCTGAATATTAATCTCTTATCAGATATTCGATTTGCAAATATTTTCTCCCATTCTGTGGGCTGCTTTTTCTCTCTCAATAGTGTCCTTTGATGTGGTTCAATTTACTTTTTCTTTCATTGTCTGTGCTTTTGGTGTCATATCCAAGCAATCATTGCCAAATTCAACGTCATGAAGCTTCTCTGTTTTAATTTTATAATTTTAGACCTTACATTTAGGTCTTTGACCGATTTTGAGTTAATTTTTGTATATGGTATAAGGTAAAGGTCCAACTTCACTCTTTTGCATGTAGATACCCAGTTTTCCTATTACCTTTTGTTGAAAAGACTTTCTCCATTGAACGGTCTTGACACCCTTGTTGAAAATCATTTGACCAAACATGTGAGGGTTTATTTCTGGCCTGTATGTCTTTATCTGAGTACTGTTTTGAGTGCTGTAGCTTGATAGTAAATAAATAAGCTTTGAAATCACGAAGTGTGTCTTCCTGATTTAACTATTTTGGCTATTCTGGGTCTCGATATTCCATATGAATTTTTGGATGGGTTTTTCTATTTCTGCAAAAAATGTCATTGGGATTTTTTGGGACTGGATTTGATCTGTAGATCACTTTGGGTAGTACTGACATTTTTAAGAATGTTAAATCTTCCAATCCATTAACACAGGATCTTTCCATTTATGTCCCGTTTAATTTCTTTCAGCAATGTCTTGTGGTTTTCAGTGGTCAGTCTTTTGTGTTGATGGTTAGGCTTATTTGTAAGTATTTTATTTGTTTTGAAGCTATTGTAAGTGGAACTGTTTCCTAAATTTCCTTTTTGGATTGTTTGTTGTTAGTGTATAGAAACAAAACTGTTTTTTGCATGTTGATTTTGCATCCTGCAACTTGGGTGAATTCATTTGTTAGTTCTAATAGTTTTTGTGTCAAGTAGTTTTTTTAAACAGAAAAAATGTGGTTACAGTATAAATTCATCACTACCTTGTTCAAGTTTATAGAATATTTTTCTTTGATAAGGTATGCTTAAAAGGTGGCAAATTTTAAGAAAAACCCATGTCAAGGAGAACAACATACATAACCTAAGAATTTCTGCCCAAATACTGCCATCAAAGATCCTGTCTGAGTTTTGCAAAATATCCAACTATTAACTTTATAAATCAACTCCTGAATATATGCAAAAATCACCTTACTTCTTACAACCCAACAAATACGAACGATGGCTCCTGGAGTTGTGCAATTTTAAAAAAGAAAATCCTCAAACGTACATCCTCAACAATCCTTAAGACAGGTTTGACTTTCAGGCTAATATTGTGTGATATTAATTCAAATTTGATGAGGAAATCTGACTAGAGAGGCTAGGTACATATAATTTTCATTTCAATAAATATTCATTGAGTGTTATGAGGTGATGTCAAGAGTTTCAGAGCTGTAGATTGGTTCTCCCACCAGTTAGCTGTTTCACCTTTGGCAGCTTCCTTAAACCATTTCTGTTCTTCTTTAAAACTGGAATTATAATATCTGCCCCACATGATTGCTTGAGAATTAAATAACTTAAATAGTAAGTAGTCAATAAGTGTTAGTTATTATGATCTTGAGTAGATTACACGTTGGACATTATGCTATACGTTGGGGACAAAAGATGTATATACCTCTTCCATCAAGGTACTCATGATCTAGATGGGAAAGTATACAAAAAATCAAATAATCTTAATACCATGCAATAGCAACAGAATGACATGTTATATGTTAGAAATAAATGTAAGGCTATAATATTCTCAGATATGAAATTTAGATAGGTTGGCTCCTGTGTAGAGGATTGGAGGAATTGAATCACAAGCAAGACTAGTAAGGAAGCCACAATAATCCAGGCAAACTCTAGGCAGCACAGCAATACAGGCTGAACTGGAGGATGGCAGTGTAGAAAGCATTCTTGCCATGCCTAGAATCATGAGCTCCCTGAAAGGAACTTTCTTCCATGGCTTAGAAGATAACAAACTTTAATCATCTTGCATCTTTACCTTAATTATTTAGGGGATGCTAAGGAACCCTGTTTATGATTCTCAGGCACCATTTTACAGAGAAAACTCAGGCTCAGAAAGCAAAGTCACTATTGCATTATTAACAGGGGCACTATTCACAGTGTAGTCTATGAAAATGGCACCCTCTACAACCCAACAAATATGAATGATGGCTCCTGGAGTTGTGCACTACAGCAGCCCTGCTGGAGAGATTATAGCATGGCAGGTAGTGGAACTGATTTCTATCTAAAAACCTGTCCTTTTCCCACTATACCATACTATCTCTTACCATGGTATCTTATTTCTGAGTATGTAGCATACTTAGGATTAAACAATGAATTACAACAAAGAAACAAATCAAACACAACCCACATATGAGTTTTTCACGAGAACCTGGTAGGCTTATTAAAATGAATTTAATGAAATCCTGTAAGTACTACTTAACAAATTAAGGTTCTTGATGTATTCTTAAACTATTACTTAATGGAAAAATAATGACAAAACAAATATAAAACAAACTTACTTTGGGCTTCCCTAAAGCAGATAAATAAGGAGCTTTACAAAAAACTCAATGGACAAACCACAAAAATTAGACCATGAATCAATTTTCTGCAGACATTTCTTGAATTATCCCAAAATTGTAAGGCCAATTTCCCCAGAAAATTATTCTACAATTGTTATCTTGGCAAAAAATACCCAACCTTAGTAAAAAGCACATACTTAGCAACTACTTCTTTATATACAAAATATTATTTAATTCATATTTCTGCCAAGAACACTACAACTTACAAAAGTTTTATCCATACTCTTACTCTAACCCTATGCCCACCCACTTGGAAGGTAGGACCATTTGAGGATTTGAGAATCTCAATATGCTCTGTCCAGGAAAGGGGAAGGTATTAAAATACAGGACAAAAACTACTGGCTCGTTGTACACAAGAGAGGCCAGCCATTAAGAGCTGTCAACAGGATAAAAGGGAGTACTGACCAGAAATCCTCTGGATGAAAGCTAAAATGTGATGAAAGGGAAAACAGCATATACACAAAGCGTTAAGGGTACTGATGAAAATAAAGATATCTCTGAACAGATGATAAAAATCCCTTCCTTCAGAATTTTCAGAAATGAGTTTCACAGAACTGCAAAAGCAGAAGAAACTTTAGATTTAGAAATATCTCATCTGACTGATGATGAATTTCAGAGTAGTTAGATGACTTGTGCAAGGTCACATAATTAATGCAGAGTCTGGACTAGAATGCAACTCTCCTGACTTCCAGATGGTGCTTTTTTCATTCGCTATACTGCCTATCTCTTACCTGTCCCTAACCACTTGAAGTGGTTCCCCTAACTCTCTGCTCTACATGCTCTACAATGTGCTCCTTCCTGACAGAAGAACAGAATTCTGGACTATGTAGACCATGTGGAGCTACTGATCTACCAAGGGATGAGATATTACTTCAAACAGTGACTGCACTAAAATTCATTTGAGGGTGGGGAGTAGAGGGAAAATACAAAAGGAGAAAATTCTGTATACAACAATAAGAGAAGCACAAGAGGAAATAATCTCCTCTTTTGTAGTGTTATAACTGTTATTTTATTTTGTTATTAAGTCCAAATATTATATAAAACATAACAGAAAAAAATGAACAAGTTCATAAAATAAATTGAGGCGTCTGGATGAAAAAAACGTAAGAGCTTTGCCTTCATGTCTATAGAGCTCTCAATATGTTGCTGGTCTTACACTTTAGATATCAAATAAAGACATCTAGCTTGAAACAAAAGTTGGTATGCTACAAGGTTAAGCAGTAGTTAGTTCAATGATGGGCCATGAAATGACAGAATTTCTAAAATCTTATCCTTAAATATTGGCTATAATAAATTCTGATATAGCAAAATGCAAGCTTTTATCAGACAGCAAGAGGGAAATGAGTGAATGAATGCAACTTACCTCCAAGTCCTCTGAAAGGAGGTGAAAAATAAATACTGTTTTACCAGTACTCCCCCCAAAGCATTACTCTAAGCATGCAGGAGGGTGCTGTGAGCAGCTACAATAGTAAGATCCAAACCAGAGGTAGGTTCAAGGCCAAGAGTAGGAGAGTGGTTGAAGAAATCCTCCTGGGGCCAGTACCATTTCACAGAATGCCCGTTTATGCTGGGGGATGTCTGGCCTATTTTCTTCTGATTCCAAAGGACATTCCCAATTTCAACCTTGCTGAAAAGGAGGCATTTTTGCACCTGCTATTAAGAACAGCTAGGATATAGGATAAGGCTGGCATAAAATTATTGAGCAAGCACATGCTAACTATTCCAATTTGAAATCTACCAAAGTGTAAAACCAAGGGGAAATAAAAAGTTGAAGACGAAGCTATTATTCCTCAAGATGAGAACAAAATCTTACAAAAAGAGGGATTAGGCACTCATTTAACTCTATACGGAGAACATCCTTCTCTAGTGAGGTGGAAGATGAGGAACAGCATTACTAAAGGTTGACCAGGTCATGTGGAGACCGAAAGGAGAGGGAAAAAGGCATTTAGGAAGAAAGCTAGTAAAAGAAATTCTTCTGGGTCTGACTAGGTAAGTGAATCTAAGGCAACCACACCAAAGATATGCTACCCATTACTCCAGCATGAAGCTGGTGGCAAAATATCTCAAGACATTTTAAACCCAGAGAAATGTTAAGAAAAATGATAGTTAACCAAGCAAATTAAAACCAAACTCCCAATAGTAAAATCTCTTTAGATCTGAAGTCCAAGATACTCATTTTTTATTAATTCTATGCATTACTAGGAAAAAAAAAAGGAACAAATGTAAAGATTTGTTTTATTTCTATGGAAGGAAGGAGGATAAATAGAACTGTTTTCCAATTTGTTCTCTACTGTATACACACATACCTACACGCATACATACACACATACATACACCAAAAATACCCCCCTCCCCCCAAAACACAAGAATCAAAAAGCAAAACACCCTTAAACTGTACCAATACTTCATATTTTGACCAAAAGAACAGATCCTGGGAGGAAGTGCAAAATGCAAAATCAAATGACTGAAAAATGCTGAACAAACAGCATTATTAATATACAAAATATTTATATTACTGAACTAGTAACAGATGTTGTTCTCTGTGTCTGTAAAACTTTGGAACCACATAGCTGATTTGTTAAATCTAGTCCATGCCAGCTTCCAAAAACCAGAAAAGATTTTAATTAGCTTCATTCTTTGATGCCTCATCAAAATTTTCTACGAGATCTGAAAAAAAAGTAAAGGAGTCAAAGAACACAAGAAAAAAGGAAAAAAGATAAATGGAACTCCTAACTTTTAACCCCAATAAGAACAAAATTGTTGCAACTAGAATCAGCCTGAAAATGTACAGGACAATAGGCAGAAAAGAACTGGTGGCATTTTACTAATAGTAATTTATCTGCTTAAAACTGTAATCCTAAGGAAATGTTCATCTCTTTTTTTGTTTATGCAAACTACTAAGGTGAAGAACATTTTCATATGTCAATTATAGTTCCCACAGAAATAACAATAACTATGCAAATTTATAATCACAGTGATTTCAATTTAATAAATGCAGGCAGCAGAGCTTTGTGTGACAATTCCTAATTCTAAATTCTAAATGGGAGGGAGGGGGCTTTTATTCTTTTCCATTAGATCCCATCCACATCATTGTGAATCAATTTAAATTCACCAGCTCACAATCATCAAAAACCTGAAAGTCATCTAGGCAATGAATGAAATGAGATAAGCAGGCTGCTAAAAATCTTAAGACTAAAGAAATGTCACTTACCTGGAACATCATCATCCTCCTCATCAATGTCTTCTTGTTTTGGTGCTTTGCTATCCAAGACTACAAAAAATTTATTTTAATACTAGTCATTGAGAACAAAGACCTTTACAGAACACGTGTAATGTTTATCCCTTTTTCCTGTCTAAATCTCATATGGTTGCTCAGAAAAGCTAAATACTGTCAATCTAAAATGCCAGTCATATTTTTTTGCTTATCATTAAAACCAATAATACAACTTTAACTTAATTAGATATATACTAAATGTAGCTGGCACTTTCAATGTACAGCAAAGATAAAATTTATATGCAAAATAATAATTCAGATAAGTCTGAATAAAAAGACATTACAGTAAACTTACAGTGGCCATATTCTCCAACTAAAAAATTAATATTCAAAATTTTTCAATTTCTTTTGGTATAAGAAAGTATCTAGCTATGTAGCATGGGCACTGAAATACAAGACTGATTTTTAGGTGTAACAAGACACATTTGAAACCAACACTATCTTGGAAATCCACATCTATAGTGCAATCAACAATATTTAACGAAAATATAGTTATCTGATAATATTATTTTCTGGTTATCATCAATTAAAAGTAAATATGAAATTAACTTTAAAAATGTGGCTTCCAGTGGTGGCTGGTTAGCTCAGCTGGTTAGAGAACAGCTTTATAGGCATGAGTTCCAAGTGCATTTGAACATGATGTGCAAATTATAGAATAATAAGATGCCAAAGAGGCCAACAGGCTCCTAGTTGGCACACTGAAAGAAGGGGGTGTGCAGGATGGCACAGCAGAGGGTGGGTACTACACCGCAGGTGGCTTGAGAAGCTTTGCCACCCCAAAACAGGTGAAACTCCCCCAAGGAAATGACTGCCCCTTCCCCATGGTGGCTTCCCCCAAAAAAAAAAAAAAAAAAATGTGGCCTGCAGATCCTGGCATTTTCCTTTTAGGTAATTACCTCTCAACTTACTATATTACTAACTGAATATTCTATATGCCACACTACATAATTATTAGAAACATACTCAAAATTTTATGAAACATGCAAGTGACTTTATAGAAAAAGTAAAATAATTATATACAGGAAAATCCAATTTAAGATGGGACACCTTTTAAATTCTTAGGTTCTTTAATTAAGGTGGGGAGAGAAAGAGGAACTAAATTGAAATACCTACCTTGCCGTGGGAACTGTTCGGCTAACTTCCTAAGGCTTGTTAAGCTGTCAGCACCAAGCTGACTTAATATTCCAGGAAGCATTTCTGTGATTGGTTTGGCTTCTGCATGACCAGTAATTGCAAAGGTATTAGCAGAGAGGGAAGCTTGGACTTTGGGATTGTTGAAATGAATAACTGTCCCATCATCTTTAATCATGTTGACCTGTATCATCACAAAAGAAAAATGTACTTCACATGCTGGGTACTAAAATAATATCTTTTTAAAAAGCAGTTTAGCCAATTCTGTTTTTTTTGTTTTTTTTTTCCTTTTTTGTCTTTTTTCGTGTCCGGCAACGGATCGCAACCCTCAGTGTCGCGCCCATACCGGACCGGGACCAGCAACGGGATCGCAACCCTCGGTGTTGCTCCCACACCTCGCTCAGCCAGTGAGCGGGAACCGGTCTGTATGTGGGATCCGAACCCTCGGCAGGAGCGCCACCGTGCTCTTTTTTCCTTTTTGTCTTTTTTCGTGTCCGGCAACGGATCGCAACCCTCAGTGTCGCGCCCATACCGGACCGGGACCAGCAACGGGATCGCAACCCTCGGTGTTGCTCCCACACCTCGCTCAGCCAGTGAGCGGGAACCGGTCTGTATGTGGGATCCGAACCCTCGGCAGGAGCGCCACCGTGCTCCCAAGCGGCGCACTGTAGCAGTGCGCCACCGGGCCGGCTGCCAATTCTGGTTTTTTATTTGGTAGTTATGCAATTCCACGGTGGTAATTAGCTAAGCAGTGGACATGGATGGAAAAAAGTCCTAGCAATAAAGTAAAATGTGTAGATGGTACAAATTACTAGGGTGGTCAACAAATAGTCATCACAGTATCGAATCTAGATTTTAAATTCAAAGACTTCTAAGAGAAGGATGTTCAGGCCCACATTAAAAAAAAATTGAATTACCAGCCAAGAACTGGCTTCTTAATGAAATTACCCATTCTTACGCAATTTACACTATTAAAACAAAGTTGGTGCAGTTACCATTTGGTGGAGTAGCATCTTACTTAAGGAGACAGGTTATAAAGGAGAAATAGTATATAGTGAAAATAACCACTGAAAATCCATAAAGAACACTCAGAAATTTAATCAATCAGGTTGTTTCACTACTTCGAACACTTAGTAAATTTACAAAAATTTCAACTTGTTATCATCATCATTCTTTGTAGAGGATTTTTGTCAGTTCTAATTCTTAAGTGCACCTTCTCAACTACCTATCCCTGTTAAGAACACAGAAAGTTTCCCACTCACTTGCCTGGCTATCTGAGTATGCTTTATCAATGACTGGGAAACCTTTAAAATCATCCTCACATTCTTTGTATAGCTTATGAACGAGACTGTTTCTGATTTGATTTCATCCACTGCCTGGGACTTACTGAAATGGAAGGTTGAACACATGCTATTTAAAACTGTTATTTTTCTCTCTCACTCATGTACTTTCTCTCTGGGTTTTTTGTTGTTGCTGTTTTTTGTTTTGGTAGAGTTGAATTTGCATAAGATAAATGGGTAAATAATGTGATTCCATTGTGTAGCTGATTCTACTGGATAAGTTTCCTTGGTGGTAACGTGCCTATTATATAAAAAGGTTAGGAGAGTTAACTCTTGGCTACTTTAGAAGCTTTTCATGATCCATCCAAAAACTGCCCTTGTAACAATCAAGCAGAGACGCTGAGTATTCTCCATGGTAAGTGGGAAGTGAGCTTTTCTTCCTGAGAGGTGATCACCACCTCTGACAGCACCAGAAAGGAAGGGGAAGAAAGGGACTTCTAAATTTCAGGCAAGACCTGGAACACAGAGAAAATAAAGGCAAGTCCCTGGAAAATTATAACTAAACCCCACAAATGATTTCCCCAATTTTTTCCCAACAAAAATCACTATTTCAATTCCATACTCTTCCCTCTCTCTGTATTGTACCTAAGGTTCTATTAAGTATTATCCTACACAGTAAGCATTCAATCCAGCTGTTCTAAACAAATGGCATTGTGAATTTATATCAACTTTAGAAAAGATAAATTATATAGTTCTGAATATAATTACAGTTTTGGTAGAAAAGGGAAATGTTAAAGTAACTGAAAATCTGGGAGAAGAAGGGCTTCAGGAGGTGACAGTGGATGTGAAATGAGATGTTCCCCTTGATCTATCCTAGAATCACATAATTTTAGTATGGGGAAAGAGTAAAGATATGGTAGGACTATATTTTTCAAATCAAGACCAAATCACATGATTTAATAAAGGATTTCTACAATATTTCCAGGTGCACAGTCTCAAATATTGGAATTTGATTTATACACATTAAAGTCACAGAGATTCAAAATAAATATTGTTCAAAAAAATTCAGGCTATATATTTGTTGATATTAGGGGTCTTCCAGTTCAAATCTTTTATGTTAAAGAAATAAATACTTAAGACAATGGGGGCCGGCCTGTGGCTCACTCGGGAGAGTGCGGTGCTGATAACACCAAGGCTATGGGTTCGGATCCCATATAGGGATGGCCGGTTGCTCACTGGGTGAGCGTGGTGCTGACAACACCAAGTCAAGGGTTAAGATCCCCTTACCGGTCATCTTTAAAAAAAAAAAAAAAACAAAAACTTAAGACAAGAGCTCTCGGTTAAGCAATATACCAAGGACAAATAGCTGGTTAAGTGCAAACCAAGGACTTGAATGGCCGGTTTGCTCACTGGGTGAGCGTGGTGCTGACAACACCAAGTCAAGGGTTAAGATCCCCTTACCGGTCATCTTTAAAAAAAAAAAAAAAACAAAAACTTAAGACAAGAGCTCTCGGTTAAGCAATATACCAAGGACAAATAGCTGGTTAAGTGCAAACCAAGGACTTGAACTTGGGTTTCTCAATTTGCAATTTAGTTTCTTTCCTACTATACTCTGTCATTCTCATGCTTAAAATGTTTATTTGCCTGTAAAAATTCAATTCCACAGCCCCATGAAAAGCTGCCAGAGAATCATCTATCTCAGAACATAGGCCAAATGGAGAATACAAAAGAAAAATAGCATAGATATATGGATAATATATACCTTACTGGCTACAAAATAAGAGGTTAACATGGGGCCAAAACCAATAAATGGATTCATGAATTTTCCTTCTGTTCAAGTTTCTCTTCCAAAAGCTAAACGTTAAGTCACATTTTATGAGTATATCTTGATGTAGGTCTTTCTAGTTTGAAATACGTTGTTTGAGTATAATGTAAGAAGCAAGATGAACTCCATCTCAGATTGTGAAACAGAAATAAATTTATTCATGATTATTTTTAAATGGAGTGGTATAAATACTGTAGGTTCATGAACAGAAAGGTCCAGAAAGGAACGGAGAATTTAGTTAATTTTAGAAAACAGAGAATGAAATACTAGAAGTTAAAAAGGCCAGAATATTTTATTTCTATCTTACATTCCTCCCTTTGCACTGAGCAAATGACATGGTTATATAAGACTCCTGAGCACAAGCTATTAGAAACTATCAAAGGATGAATTGTTTGGCTGAGCAAGATCAGTTAGACACCTCCCCCACCCTTTTAGGTAAAAGAAGGGATAAGGAACTTGTTAAATTCACAAAGCAAACTATATGCATTTCATGTGGAGACTTTATTTCTTCCAGTGATTTTATGGTGTTTGGTTTATGTCACACAATCTATACACAGTATAAGAACAAGGAGCAGACAAGTAAACAAAGACTATTAAACTAGTTAATATACCAGCACTTAGGTCCCTTTTCACCTTACATTGTCTTTATGTGAAAATGGTTTTTTCCACTTAAACATAGCTGAAGATTAAGGATGCTACTTCAACTATGGAGGAGGAGGCATTTTAAGACCCCAGTCCAAAACACAGGATGCTCTCACTCTTATTTTTTGCTATGACAATACTGACGTGTCTTGTAGTTGGCAGTCCTCACACCTAGTGCATTTACACATGCTGTATTTACTGTTTAGAAAAATCATTTCCTGCTTCTCCAACTTGAAAATTCTCATTTATCCAAGACTCAGGTTAGATGCCTATTGCTCTGTGAAAACTTAAGGTGGTTTATGCATCTACTGCATTTTCGTGGGCGTTGCTATTACATAGAATTGTCTTGTAGTATAATAATTGTGTTTGCAAATCTTTGACCTTACTAGAAGATGAACTCCTTGAGATCAGAGACCGTGCTTTATTAGACATAGTACTCCTCCAAGTATCTACTACACAATAATCACTCAAATCTGCTGAATGAATGAATACCTCCTATACAGCTATTCTAAAATCATGGATGCTGTGAGACTTCAACTCCCCAAATACTAGATGAAGGGTCACATCAAGGTTTAGAAATAGCACCACTAGTTCCCATAATGAAGATATCCAGAACCCCCTGCACTGTATCTTTGGCCTGACTTTTCCTATAGTTCTGATCTTTCAGAATCTGCCCAACTTGCCACACAGAATTCAGGCTCATTTTAAGTCATTCTTGGCAACTGCTGGGTGGCTCCATTATACTGCTATCAAATACCTTAATAACCCCTGCCTTGGCTGGCCTCTGAGTAGAGCACATTATTATTATTAGTCACAGCAGCCTTCTATCTGGTCAATCTGATGCTCACCTCATTCCTACACAGGAGTAATAGTTTTATGGCTACAGGAGGCAAACAAAGTTATACTTGACTCCAAAACTCTTGCTAATAACTGCCCTCTCAGCTCAGAGAGGTGGTTTAAATTCTATGTGATTTTTTTTGTATCCAAGTCCCCACTAGGCAAGTTGGCTATAGTTCTGGGAATTAACAGTTGTCTTAAAATCAAGTTTTACTGTCACTCCTTCTTATATGTAATGGCATTTAAATGGTTATCAGGAAATTCGTCTTTTTCCTATAACTTAAAGGGGCGAAATAATAGATACTTCAAGAATAAGGTATATAAGCATCTAGGGTTTTGTAAAGCTGAGGGATGTCAAATTTTGAGGATTATGGGCTTTGCACACACTCTCAGAAGTTAGTGTCCCTCACATTCAATTCCTCTAGCTCAGCATCTGCTTATTTCTAAAGGCTAGTATGAAGCATAACTATTATTGTGGATAGGAGCTAAAGCTTACAGCTGTCAGACTATCACATGCTGGGATCATTTTCTCTTATTCTCTGGTGGCAAGAGTCATGAGATAGGGATTCTCTACATCTATGCTGTAGGAAGTGTGAACTG